GGGGGGGGGCTAGAACCAGGGACCCCAGAACCGTCCTTTTTTTGGGAAGCGGGGTCAACACTGGCTCGCTTTGACTTCCGGCTGCTTTCTGCCTTTCCGCAAAACGGCCAACGCAGAGTCCGTTGCAATTAAGGAATAAGGCAGCAATCCTCCTTCTGAAAGCGAAGCAGGTAACGAACAATAAATACTATGAGAGCCATAAAAGCAAAGGCCAGATAGCAAATAGTATCCCAAAAAGGAACAGTTAATGCCAGTCCGACTCCTTGCATATTAGAATATCTTGCAAACTCCAATGTACATTTTAAAAACCAAAATTTTGTGGATTGTGAGATTACAGTACCACCAATCATGTTACAATTTCTTGGAAAAGCCCTTCGCACATTTGTCAGGTGTGTAAGGTGTGTAAGGTGTGTAGAAGAGACCGCAACGTGGAAATGGAGAAAATGTTGTAGAAAATCGGGAATTATGGGCAGCAATTAACTTCTTCCTTTTCAATGCTATTATTCATTGTTCTATGAACCAAAATCCCTTTGTTGCTATCCCTTATTGAATTACGATTAAACAAACAAAATTTATGCACAAATAAAACAAACTCACCACAACATATAAACCCTCAAGTATTTTAACCTTTTCACAGATCTATATTTCCTGAAATTTGACCTGTACTCTCTAAATTCTTGATGGCTTTTTATGCTGCTGGAGCTTTAGCGAAATGGAGCAGTGTTAATTAACCGCAATTACTGCCACGCGAATCTAAATGGGACTTTCTGAGGACAGCTTTTCATTCAAGCCTTTAGGGATTCTTAGGCGATCCAGTCGCCAAGGTCGCCTTTCCCTCTTCCTCTTCCTCTTCCTCTTCCTCTTCCTCAGTTTCCGTTCCCTCTTTCTTCTTCTTCTTCTTCTTCCTCTTCTCCTCCTCCGTCTTTTCGGATGGAGGGCACAGACTCAAGATTTTTCTTTTCGATCTGGGATATCTATATGTAAACGCAAAGCCGTTGGTAAACTTTTAATTAATGTGAAGCTGCCTTTTTCGTTTGTTTCAGTTCTCAGGATCGGACTGCGGCACAACAATCCCTGCTCCTCTCTCTGCCAAAGGAAAGGAGGCAAATCCCTAACAGTTTTAGCAATGATATTTTCATATTTAAATACTAGGTTTTCCAAACAAGGGCTGACAAGGGGTCTAGGAAGCTCTAATTCCCGGTGGGAGGGGGGCCTTCCTCCCCCCAGCAGCACAAAAGGCCGCATCCTAAAATGTTTTCTTGACATCCGCTAGGATGCTCAAGAATCAGGAGAGATTGCTTAATCTCACCAGCAGAATAATGAGGAGCAGGAACAGACTAGATCCACCTTTATCTCCCACACCCACGTGTCTACAAAACAATGAGTAAAACAAAATGATATTTCCTTACAAAATCATGTATATGGAGACATACAGGTCTAGCTTCATGTTGCAAAGAAAAGAAGAAAGTAAGGAAAGTAGTTCTGCATGCTTCTAAGGAAGTTTTGCTCTAGCCTGCTTGCTGGTCAAGCATCTTCAGGGAAAAGAGACAAAGGGTAATTAAGATTCTGAGCATGGGCCAAAAGGTGAGGCGTGCTTAGTTAAAAACAGGAAATGAGGAGGGGCTATTTATTAGTGGGTAATAAAACTACCATAGACATCCACACCTACAGCCCTAGAAAGACTCAGCATGCGAAGTTGCTATATCCCAACATCCTGCTCCAAACCAGGCTCCCATTCAAAGCCCCAAGACCACACAGGTCTGTTGTTGTTGTTGTTGTTCTTGTTGTGTGCCTTCAAGTCGTTTCCGACTTATGGAGACCCGCCTACGGTGAACCTACAATGGGTTTTTCTTGGCAAGATACGTTCAGAAGGGGTTTGCCATTGACATCCTTTGAGGCTGAGAGAGTGTGACTTGCCCAAGGTCACCCAGTGAGTTTACGAGGCCGAGCTGGGATTCGAACCCTGGCCTCTAGAGCCCTAATCCAGCTCCTGAACCACTTTGCCACGCTGGCTCCCAGACAGCTTTAGAGTTCAATGGGAATTACTGACTGGA